GCTATATGTATATATATATATATATATATATATATATAAATGTTGTCGCTGAGTATGAAACGTGACAAACAATAATTATCTATATCTGTATGGGAGTATTTGACAATAGTGCAGTGAGTGATTAAGGAATAGGAGTTATGTCTTGAAACTACAGAGTCGCAGACAGCTTACCGTATAAACCTTATACTCGATAAAGGTCTCGTGATTAAAGCGCAGTACGGCCATGGTTCAAAAAAAAAGAGAAGCAAAGTTTGAGGTCAAAATTAAGTCTTGTGGAACACCCCTGTGGAGATGAATAATGAAGAGTTGAGAGTTGCATTGGAGACCGATTCATTTTAAAGTGTGCGGGTGTTAGCACATAGACTTAGTGTATGTAAAAGTTTCATACTTGTTCGCCTCGGTCAAATCAATGAAGTAAAAAAATTGGATAAATCAATGCCGCGTAGCTTGAACAAAAATTAAGAACAGGCACAATCATTTTTTTCATTTTCTTTTTTTCACATTTCTTGAGGAATAGTTCTTGTAATAAAAAGTTGGTTTTCTGAAATCACCACTGATAGTCACATTGAGGAATGGATAGAGTTGAACCGACGGAACATCATTCTGAAGCGAATGCACAGGTGCTTATAGCGTCTGTTTAGTTGTTTATCCAAGGATTGCTCACTAAAGCTTTCTTACGGCTGAAGTGTGCTGTTCATAAATGGAGGACATGATGGAAAAGAATTTCATATTAAGCAGCCAAAACTAGCGAACCACTTTTATTGCATGACAGCGCATGCCAAGAAACACAATGTTAAAAATTCGAGGGTTTCAATTAGAAGTTTTCTGTCATTCTATATCTATACATTACGCTTACGCATGATAATTTTTTCAAAATTTCGACAACACTATAATAGAAAAATTATCCAATCCTCGACGTGACGTCGAGATTGCCTTTCATCACTTCATAGACTCTTGTATCCATAACTTGTACAGGAGCGAAATGAACAAGTTACCCTCTGAATGGCAGAAGTTTAGCATTGGCTCGCACTTTTATCACATTTACAAAACAAAAATGATCATTGCTAAATGAGAAACAAGCCTCGGATAGAGTATGAGTCCGCTCTGACTCATGTTTGCATCGAAAGTACGAGTTTTCTAGTTCAAAAAAAATTTAAAATAGCGGATTCGTTTATACTAAGAAATAAGGAAGACAGGGGAGCAAAGAAAGCTCTTACCGTTTTCGTTTCCATAGATGTTCCGTCTGAGATTAATCGTATACGACACTATTTAGGATCCACGCAAATGATGAAATATGCACGTTTAGAAAACTGGTTGCTAAATTCTGAATAGAGATACTGGCATAATTAAGTATACACTAAAATGCCTTCTTGATGAATGCTGGAATTTTTCAGAAAATTTTTGTGAATTTTTCGCGCTGATGCACGTAAGTGTTTCTGAATTTCTGTGAAAGCAGTATCATTACTGACAACAACGTAGAACACTTCCATGTGACGTGAACGTTCATGATTCCAATATGACGATGCTATACTCTTGATGTCGATAGATAAACTATCTCTGATTACGTACTTTATATCTGATTGGAGACTGCGATTGTATTTTACGACAAGAATTTTAATTTGGAAGCCGCCTGGATGTAGCCACTGCACTGCGTATGTATGTACAGGCTTTACTCTATATTATTGGCTAGTTGATTTTTAAAGTATGTAACAAATAGATGTTTTAATAAATAGATGTTTAAATAATTTCAATTAATACCGTTTCATTTCGTTAGAAGAGAAATATAGTCCGACTTAAAACGTTGCACGTGTTGTCATAAATGAGAAGGCTGACAGTTATTTCCGTTCCGAATGACCATATATAATACGAATGAATTTTATTAATGTCATCGATATCGTCACCGTAACTAGTAGCATCATCACCTTTATCGATTCTTCAACATGTTCAATTTTTTTTTATGTACAGTACAATTATTTTCTGCTTATACTTCTCCGTCATAGTTATTCCGCTATAATACACCAGCTATTTTTTTACAGAAAGCTTAAACACTAAAAAAGACGCTAGTAGTTGTAGGTTAGTTTTCACTAACGCACAGCAAAAATACCCAAAGGAATATTCCACAACAAAATTACCAGATTTACTCATGGAGAGACCACCCATTGAATACTGTCGTCCCGTTATCTTTTTACTTCATATATATAACACATATGCATAAACCGAAATTGTCAGCTACTCGCGGACGGAGAAATAGTTTTAGCAAATTCATTCCCGGGCTCCTATTTGCTTATGTGGTGTCGCCATTTTGCTTTTATACTCCTATATTTTATAGTTTCGTTTATTCATTTATCCCGTACTGCACTCGTCAATTATATATACTCTCATGGTACGACAAGCGGGTTAGCATTTATCATTTAATAAGTGTTCTGCGTTCGGTACAGCTGTCAGGCATTATCAGTTTCACCGTCACCATCATCTTATCATCTGTTTCAGCTTTGCTTTACGCTCCGTCCACTTGCGTGTAGTTGGCGATTCGACAATCACACTAAGGATTTTGCAGATTATGCCAATAGTTAATGTTATTATAAGTTTTACATAATATCCTTACATGTTCTTTGTTGAATTAACTTTTAGTGTATTTTTGCCATCAGCGTTTCCAATAAAAGCTAACTAGCACATCCATGAGAATTACATAATGCTATAACTAACAATTCGGAGAGTCACCATTCTCATTCTTGCTTTTCATCATCATTCAATTTTAGCTTCTTTTTGCAGTCGTCGCCGTCCACTTTATTTCAGAAAAGAAAATTCTTTAAAAAACAATAATTTTTATTTAAAAAATGTCGATTTCATTTTTTTGTAATCGGTAATAATTGTTAGTTGTTATTTTTGCTGAAATGATTCAATAACCTTGGCGTTCTTAATTATAAACCTGGTAATCATTTAATGCTATCTATGAAACCAATAGCAGTCGGAGCGCTCGCTAACCCGTACCTTCTTTCCCCCGAACTATTCTATCAATCGTCACTCCTTTATATGCTCTCTCTCTTGCCCTTTCGCATTGTATCATCCCCTCATCATACTTAGAGAGACCAATGAACGTTATTATTATTATAATAATAATAATTATTATTATTATTCAGTAATACCAACCACTCACTCTGTTTACTGTATACATCGATTTAACAAATACAGATATACATACCAGCAAATAATAATAATTATAATTCTAATAAGTGTGCGCCGCGAAGTTGTCGTCTATTATATACTCGGATGTCATGAACTCAATTGATCGCTCGCCCGCTTGATCTCAAAAGATCCCGCCGTCTCGCCGGTACCGAACATTGTGCAGTTTCTTAGTATTCATCAGGCGTTTCGAAACTCTCGAGTTTCTTCCGACTACCATCTCGTCGCTATTAATTTTTCATCATCGTTTACCGATATATATCAGAGTCACTGCTTCTTTCTCATTTCTTATATGTATCCGTATACGTTCATATGCTTTTATGTATTTACTAGAGGTTGTTGTTGCCCTGTAATTAGTAACAATAGATGCTCATGATAAACTCATCGACGTTCGAATTTTAAATTACTATCACAATTATTTGTGGGTATGACTTTCACTAATCGATACCAGCTATTCCGCATCGATTATCGCACGATGATAACTCTTTTTTAGAACTAGTTTTATCGATTATTATTATGTCTATTATTCTTATTATTATGATTCAATATTATGTTAATTTTGAGTACCCTCATTAAATTTTTCTTGTAAAGTGAATGTTCCTCTTATATCAAGTCTCAAATTGAAGTACACCTATGAAGTTACTATAAATAATAATTACTATTGTTGTACAAATCGTCTTTTCTAGTTGCACCACAGCAGCTCTATATTTGAACCGTTCTATTAACAGAAACAGTCATACAGACACACACAGACCTAAACTTCGTCAGTTCTTTCTTTCTTCTTATCGATGGGTTACTTTTTTCTTTTTGTTTGTATGATGTCCCCTTTATGCCCTTCTTTCATACTTTGCTGTGTTACATCGCATTTTAGAACATTTTGTTTAAATAAATAATTGTGTATCATATTGTTGTTATTGTTATAGCTTCTTCTCCCCACTATGCACTATCACATTCTTGTTGTTCTTTGTTGTCTGTCACTCTACTTCATCGTAACTTACTTTGTGTTGTTCTTGTTCTTTTAGTTCTTACTATCCTTACCAAAATAATGATAACGTTAATAAGGTACTGTTTTTATCATTGGCGACTCCAGTCACTTAGTTTCCTCGGAACTAATGCTGAAGGCAATGAAGTTCCTACCATTTGCGCTTCTTAAACTACGCATCCTAGGTGAAACTAAACATGGACGCAATGTGACTTCCTATCAAGAATTAACCCGACATCGCATAACCCACTCGTTCACCTATTCATAAGTTGTGTATTCAGTAAACGTTTGCATCCGTATAACAGGAACAACGGAACGCTATTAAAAGAACAGGAGTATCGCTTGTAATGCCGCTTAGTTACAATTCAAATTCGGAAAGCTAGAGATCTCATCGCATTGGATTACACGCGTGATTATCATTATCTATTGTAGTTTAATTCAGTGCTTTTTCTTAATAACCACACATAAAATATTGGTTACGATGGTAAAATTTAGCCCCAATTACCACAACCATTACAGCGTTTTCACGTTTACTTTTGTCCTCCTTGCTTAGCAGGAGGAACCATTTACGGCGAATCATTCTTGCCTTCCTCTTTATCACTACAAAACTGATAAATGATCTACATTTCCACTTTTAGAAATGGATTTGTTTTAATACTTCATGAGTAGCGAATTTACAATGCTACAGCAACTCGTTTATTTTAGGTTGTTCGGATAGGTTCAAGCTCTATGCGCAATGCAAAACGGATTACAATAAGAAACCATTAATTCCTTAATTAACAGTCCACCTGCAAATAAATGCAAATAACTTCGCATTTCTAGTCGGTTTGCTTTGTTTTTTTTTGAAGTTCTATAACTTGGACAGCCCTTTCTGTGACATGAAAGTGTTTTTTGACATGATTCTTTTTAATAAAAAGGTTCGAATTTCGGTAGCTTTAATGCCGACAATCACGCTATCATTCTACCACAATTAACCTCGGAGGTGTCTCTTAGCGGTAAAAAATATGACTAACTGAGCTTGATAACTCTTGCTTGGCTAGTATATATCCGATTGCCGCCTTCTAATTAACATCTATGTCATAATGCAGATTTTGTTTGATTTTAAGCGTTTTGATGTGTTCTCCGTAGATACCACAATATCAGCATCGGCATCGTTGTGTATAATTAGGTGGCTAGTTCGTTCGTGACAAGACTTAAGCCGACACTTGGAACATAACTTAAAATCATCGCTGGCCGACACTTGGAACATAACTTAAAACCATCGCTGGTTTTTATATATGTGTTTGTGCTTACATGCGCGGAAGGAAACGAAAGTCAGTTACCTTGTTAACTTCGTAACTTCTTGTGTAGATCAGAACTAAATTCAGTGCATCGGGCAAAATGAATTTAAGATGATCTCAATGAACATATATTTTCACGCTCTGTTGAAGGGGCAGTTTTTCCAATTTTTGTGGACATTTACTTACGTGTTTTCACAAAAATGGAACTAACGATACACTCGTTTTACGAAACTACGAAATAAAAAGTGACACTAGCTGTGAAACTATAGGTAGTTGAAAAAAAAAGTAGCATGAGAGCAGTGTATAGCTCTACTTTTCAGATTCTACCGCCGGCATTTGTTAATTGTATCCGTTTTTATTAATAAACTTTACACGCCACTTGTCTCCAATGCGATACTATAATAACTTTGTTCCGAGTCTATTTAAAATCAGCAAACCATGTGGTCTTAATCACTCTTACTTGTCGGCGTCAAATCTGTCACCAGTAACGCCCATAAAAGGAACTACTGATATTATTGAAAGTAGCTTTCGGTCTGGTGAAAAAGGTCGGACAACCATTTGATACTGAAATTGGAACATTTGGTGTTATATGTTTATAGCAGTTGATTTCCTTATAATACGTTCGTTTGTTGTTATTACTTTACACATACAAAGAACTTTTCCTCTGTAAAGAAATTTAGATTTGGCCTTGTCTGTCTCCTTACTGTGAGATTGACGCCTATACAATATGACTATGAACAATCGTTTTTTTTTCCGTATAAACTACAGGAGGCGACGGTAAGATGCGATAACACATCAGTGCGGTTTAGATACTCACTGTTGCCAAAAATATTTATGTTTTTTATCGCCTACCCCGTGTTAGCTGTTTGGCCATTAATAAGTTAAAAACAAACTAATTATTAAAATATTTGGTTTCCTGTTGATCAATTCAAGTTATTATTACTTATTGTTTTCCTTTCTCTGAGTGCCACTGTGAAGTAGATCAGGCATTCACCCCAAAAAGGATTGCATTTAGTATTCACATATGCCACAACTGTTTTCCTAAATACGTACTTTTTTTTTATCATTTTGGAGTGGATATGACAAAATAGGGCTGTTTAAGACAAAAGTGTTGTAGACTGTGATGCATCGGTACCGGCGATCGGGACCACATGCCAGTAAATTAAACTGACTGAGTTAATCTTTTTTGATCATTACTGCTTCATTAGCTGCAATCGTCTCGAGAAGATAGCAATAACGCTGAAACTCAGACTTAGGCTTAAAGACTACGTTTGCCGAGATTATTGTCGAAACAACACTTCTTTGATCAGCGATCAACAAGCAGGATGGCTGACTTGATTAATGCACCGATGATCTTGTTACACAGAAATCCGCTTGGGAGCTGCAAAAGTCAAATATAAATTTCTTTTTATGGTGGAAGTTGTGAAAGAGTTGGAAATTGGGTCATTGAAATGACTCAATTTCTCCATTTGCCTATATTGATTATCGATACAACACAAATACCAAAATTTATTGTGACATGTATATACACATGCGGTTTATATAAAATGGATCGATGTAATTTTCCCATTTCGGAAAATTTTGGAATTATGCCAATTTGCTCAAGAAGTAACATCACCTTTGTGTTTTGCGTAAAACAAAAAGTTAGGTTCACTCACTTTTTATTGAAAGTAGCACTAACCACCCCTGCTCAAGCTAAATATGGATTCACTTGAACCAGTTGTACCTCCATTTTCTGCATTATGAACTGTGAAGAAAAGGTAACTGACGTCATGCACAGGTCGAAGCAGAAAATCTGCATCATACAGTGTAAAGTAGTCAACTTTTATTACAAAATGTTACAGTCGTTTCCGGGATGGCAACAAGGGAATCACTCTCGAAAAGCCTTTGCCCTAGAAACGCTAACTGTGGAAAGCAACGACAAATCGTGTCGGTCACTGCGAGCAATGAATTTTCGTAGTATGGCCCTATCGTCACAAAAGAGCACCGACATGTTTGAAAAATATGGACTAAAGGTATTTTGTTTAGGACAACAGAGCGACAAAAGGCAACTTAATAGCTTACGCACTATTATAAACTATTGATCTACGCGCTGTTCTAATACTGATTTATTGCAATGCCTCTATCTTTCAGCCCGACCTGCATGCTCTCCAAGTCCTATTAAATACTTGAAAAGAGTAGATTTGACATAAAAGTAAAGGAAAATTAGTGAAAGAATTATCTTAGTGAAGCCAATCTGCATTTAATAAGCGTTTCGAAGGGGAAAGTACGAATGTATGCTATTGTTGTATTATTTTCTAAAGAAGCTGCATAAAATGCGCAATAAATCCAGATCACTGAACGCATTCTCTGGTTTTTGAGCAAAGCTGATGCTACTTTTTGACCAGAATGGTATTATGTACGAAACAGACGTATGCGTAGGTATACCTTTTAGCCAAAGTAGGAATGTGACGCGTCTCTCTCGCGCGATTCACTGGCCAGCTGTGAGTTGAGCTGGGGGCAGCTGTCCAGGAGGAGAAACCATGCTTAAGCTTGAAAGGCCTGAGACACCAACGCGTACACTGGACAATAGTTTTCTAGCCAGTTGTTGTTGTTGTTGTTTCGGTGATGCGGGTCTCGTTGGGGCCCCTTTAACCCTCCGTCGTGAACCCGCTGTTCCTGTCGTTGGACCCCCCACATTAGCGCTGCTGCCAGTTCCCTGTCGATTGATCAACAACGAGGTTTGCCCACTTGGTAATATCTGCGGACTCAAAGCAGCTGCCAGCGCCCCTCTGGTTGCGTCCCACCGTCGATCAAGCAACACCACATTTGACGAACTAAGCACACGCATTCCGAATGTGCACATGGCAGCTGGTTTAGGCTGTACACCTGCTGTAAAATTGTGACTGGTATTTTCGGCGGGCACAGCTAGAGATCGGACGGGCGACGCAGCGCTCCGCAGACTCGATAATAGTCCTCCCCCACGCACTCCGCCTGTTTTATTTTTGGCCATGCCTGCCAGGACACCACCCACCGGCCCTACAACGCTTACAGCAGCTGCTGCGGCTGCCGCCCCTAATCCTCCGACACCTGATTGAGCCAGCTGCTGTGCAAGAGGAGGTCCAGGATCATGGCGCACAAGCTGAGGCGGCGGCGGTGGTGGTGATCCAGATAAGCGTATAACGGGTAAAGTCAATTTGCCATCCGGTGTGGCTAATACCACTTGTGACGAGGGTGATGTCGATCGAGACGAAGCTGGACTTGGATGTTGTTGCTGTTGTTGGATTAACGATGGTACTAAGGGCCCATTCGGAGAATGGTGTAATGAAATGTGCTCGTCGCCAACAGGCGAACTATGCGCTGGCGCATCTATTACGTTTACCGCAGAAGGTGACGGAGGCAGAACTAACTGACTGGGATGTACCGCTGGAGGAGATAGTTGTGGAGCAGAATCCCCAGACGTAATGTTTACAGGAGGCTTTTGTTCTTTCGCGGCACGGTTCTCTGCAAGGAGATCGTCGAAACCCTTCAGCCTACCAGGTACTCCACGTCGAAGGCTTAGCGAATGCGTCTTACACGTCAACGAACGTGTGCACGGTTTGCCTAAGAAGTACATACAATATTAAGTTCTGCCTTTAAAAGAGTGAAATCATGGTCAATTCCTTGTGATAAGTTTCAATTAAAAATATAGACTAAATTTATTTGATTATTTACTCAATATTATAGTAGGACACGGCGTCATGAAAGTCTCGTTCGTTGTCAATACATACCCGTATCGGAAGTAATGACTCCACAGTGTTTGTTTGGGTCGTATTCACGGTCTTTACAAGGCAAAAATTTCTTCTTAATTGAGGGCAATGTGCTATCAGGAATCGCCGCGAGCGGCCGTTTGAGGGAGTCTGTTGCGGTGGTTCGGTCGGGTGTGAGCAAAGAACAAGTTGATGAGTTCGGGTTGACCAGCAGAGTCTTTGTCAAGACAACAACTAATAGAGAATGAAAGTAAGAACTGATAAGAATCCAACTGACAAATTACCAACCATTTTAAACAGTGTCTGTAGCTTAACTTTATAACTGTAACACACTTGTGTTGTGAGTACCAGCACAAAGCAGTCCTCAAGCAATATTCTCAGAACGACGAACATATTCTTACCAGGCGTAGCGAGTACGCGATCTTCTGAGATGGTCGGACTTCTACCCCGTAAACTAAAAACCGAGCTCGATATCGAACCTGGTATCTCGAGCGTCTTGGCACTATCGGCCGGAGAGTTGACCGAACTACTTGAGCTGCTCGACTGCTCACTATCTTCTTTGCCGGTTGATGATTGGCAGCCGTAAGCAGGGTTGTCTTGGAAATTCTGGGAACGAATCAAGTTAACCTCTCTATCCCTATTTACCTCCTTGGTGGCAACTTTGGTAGTTAATTTTACCTGTTAACGATAGGAAAACATGTATACATGTTTCTCAGAGCTAATTGAAATGGTACTATTTCGGCAAATTTATTTATCTCTTTAATAGTAACTTTACCTTTAATATAACATACCAGAAATATGTTTTCATAACTATTTATAGGACATACCTTAACGGACGCAGGCTTATTTCGACTGGTGCTGGCACTGCTGGCCGTACTACTACTGCTACTACTGTGATATTTAAAAGAGAAACTTTTTGAATTAATTGCTTCAATCGATGTCTCCGAAGACGTCGTCGACGGCGATCGTGATGATCTAGAGTGTCGAAATTCTGTAACATGAAGTATTTTACATAAAACATATCGTAATGACACAATATTATCGATATTCAAGACCCTTCACCTTTTTAAAGTCAAACCGAACAACTAAAACTACATCGTCTATAATAAAGTGTCCTAAGCTAGGTATAACTAAGTTAAAGGCCTTGAACTTACCAATATGATGCTTAAGAGCCATTGGTTTGAGTACCTTATGGCATTCATTGCAACGGACGAGGTAAAACTCGTCCCATGCTGGACAGAGTCCAAATAGATCTGCATCTGTGAAGTAATAAAGATCAATAACTATATTGTTTAACTTCGAAACAAATAGTTCTTGTGACACGTTCCTGTGACAACATTGTAAAGCGGACACCAAATAAATATTTACAATTCTCTTCAAATATGGTAATATAACAGTAATGATTATAAGAACAATCATCCAGTTAAAATCAAACCTATAAAGGCTTTATTGGATAGATTTTTTTACTTTCCTGAATATCACTTGTGTCTAACTTTGCAAAACCTAAAAGAAAAAAAGTCCAACTTTGCTTCGATTCCTTGACAAATGGCTTTTAGCAACAAATATTTATTGTAGTGTCAAGCTGTACGTATGAAATTTGGTTTTTGAGGGATTTTCGTTAGATAGTTGAGGAGTCAATGTATTACTGAGAAGAAAACAAATCTTGTAATTAAATATTGATGTGTTTAGTGTTTTACAATCAGCCCACATACCGTCAATTTATCCATTTCCTTGTGCTAAGAATATACTTCATTATTTTCGAGCTGTCAATTTCCGTATGAATAGACTTAATATAAAACCGTTACTATAATTTTTTCTATTTGTACTTTACCTTCCCGATTTAACAACATCGAATCCGACTCAATTTCACAGTCCGGGGGATCATCCTCTGCAAAATAGGATGAACATCTATTTACTGACATAGGCATTGCATTCTTACAATAAATATTATGAGCAAAGCATTTTCCGTAAGGTACCGCATTTTGGTGTTGAAACTTGCACGTGCATCTAGCCTACGAGATTTAGATTAGCAATTATATACAGCCGTCCAATATACCTATATGCCGTATCACAGAATGATATCCAAAAATGAATTGGAAAGCATTCAGCTACTAAATACAATTAGGAGAAAACTAACTAAGTTTTAAGCGTTTTAGGGAAGATGATTTAAAACAAGTAACACATATGCTAGATTCTCCATACCCCTCAAACCACTCCGTTCACTAAGGCACTTGGATATGCTTCTTATATAATATAAGCTGTATAAAGTTATATATATATATATATATATATATATGTATATATATATATATTTAATTTATATATTTATATTATTATATTTATATATACTATTTATATAAATTGTTATATAAAATTTTATTATGCCTAGACGCGACTTGTTTACAGCTGTTTGCCTGGTAGCTTTCTCGAATATTCTGTATCTTAAGAGCAGGCTTTCATACGAAACCTAATTATGAGTTAACACAGTACACTTGGTATCTTCAAACAATTTACCGATATAATTTTTAGCTCTTGCAAATTTTGCATATTTTGTGGCTTAGATAATCTAAAAATGTTTTCGTTCTCGTCCCAACTCGTGGGGAACATAAAAGATATACCGGGACATATGTGATAAATAGTTTCATTAATTGTTTGAATACATTCGTGGAGCTCTTAGGAGTTAGACTTATTCTTAGCAATTAGAGACTTAGCAATCAGAAGCAACTTAGAGGATTATTTTGAAAGTGTAGGTAATGGTATGGCAAAGAGTTGTTCTTCCATAAACCAAAAAACACAAATATCATTTTATATTTACTTTTGCAGGTATTACCAACCTTACCTAATCTTCATAAAAAAATTTCAAAGAGAGTACTATAATAGCCAATATTCAACATGACTTCAATTTCTTTGATTTGGTTAATTCTTAAATTCTTCTTGAGCATACTGACTTTCATATCGGTTCGGATCTCAATTTCTCATCTAAACCAAATATTTGCCTTATTAATGGTTATACTGCATTTCAAGACCGCGTCCTCTTCTAGTTGTTAAACTCGAATTTTTTGCGTGCACCCCAGAAAAGCTTCCTCGTAATTATCATAGAACTTTATCGACCAAACTGGATACCGATAAAATCTGTTAATTGCACTTAGTCTATTTTATGGTCTCCAATTTTAAAAGCTATTGTACACTTAATTTCACTCAGATAAACAAAGAGCCAGGCATACTATTATTTTAGAACACCGCAAATTTTAGAGACTACAAAAATTATGCCATTTCAGACAGTAGCTATTATCTAAACCAGTGGACAACATAAATTTAGTAAATTTATTCTCTTTTTTCCATAGAAATATTCTGGGAAAGAGACAAAATACATAACAGCACGTTCGTTTAAAATTGCTTGCTGTGTATTGTCTGCTGTTTCAGAAAAGTTTCCTATCATTTAAAACTCCTGGTTCCTTCATTAATTAATTAGTTCAGTATCATAGAAGGATCTTCCAGGCAAAAGTTAGCACCATTCAGATATCCTTTTATTGCTGTAAACTCCCTGTGTACATCAGGATATAAAATCATGTAGAACCATACCAGCTCCTCAACTAGAAAATGGAAAGTTTACCGATGGTATTCTTCTCAACTTAATGTAAGAAACTATTGCGGTCGACTTTCTAGAAAGATGGTTGTTATAAAATTTGTAACAAAAGAAACAAACGGAACAAAGCACGGTTTCTACCTATGAGATGACATCCTTAAGCTTAGTAAATCACGTTTGAGTAATCCTCTGTTAATGACAGAGACCCCTCTATAATAGGCACAAATATTTCGGGTCATTTATTGAATACTTCATTCCATCAATTCACAGGTTGCGCGCAATGACAAGAAATAATAGATGGTATGGGAGTCTGCTAGCAACTAAATGTAAGCTACCAAAAAGCCTTCACTTGAAGGTTTCATGGTAGAGATTAATGTGGAGATTTTTGGTAATGTAACGTGTTCGAATCACAAAGACGTAGGCCCTTTCCCACAATCATTGAACTAAAATAACCGTCAGCGCTGTGTAATTACGTCGTCCTCAGACGTCTAAAATAGTTCGACCCTATTTGAAATATCAATGCGTAAAGCTAAAATAACAACCCTTCTAAAAAATATACATTCTGTTAAATAGACCTCGTTGTAAAAATGGCAATTCGATAATGATCCGCCGCAAATTTTAACAAGACTATAGCCGTAAATAGAAAAATGGAATGTCGATAATTAGCTATTAGTGAGACAAAGAAAGACGAAGGTGCGTAATTGGGCTAATTACCCTCTCCATCTTAGTTCGTCAACTCAACGTGTAGGATACACGTGGATCGCCTATACACACGCATCGTGTATTGTGCGTCCTCCTGCACGTTATTTGCGGATCTGACATGCCCACATGTATAAACATCAGAAAATCTCCCAGATTGCCAACTATGGTCTTTCGCTAGACCGGTGTCCTTCCCCCTCTAACAGTTCGTTGTCCACCCGCTGGTGCCAAGGATTGTAGGATTCAGTGAACAACACAAGAAGATAGGACCGGCTAGGTTAAATTGACAGGTACATACTCATAATCCCCACAACAAAGACACTCACTCACCCGCAGCTTGAGCAAGCAAGTACGTAACACATCCTTACATTCATCATTTGTCTAGAGCAATACACTACAAGTATATATATATATATATATATATATATATATATATATATATATATATATATATAATATACACTTCGGATTAATATATATATATTAATCCGAAGAGGTTAGATACAAAGCTGCTAAGACGTACACCCAAACACACACATCAATACAGGAAGAGGGACATGGATATACACATTGATTAGATGGAGATAAGCGTTAGGAGACACCGTCAAACAGCGAGCGCGGCCAGCACGACACAGTGATAATGCTAAGATACGGCACAATATAGCACAGCTGATCGGTGAACACTAAGCTACTCTCATCATAACTACCGACTAGAATCAACAGCCAAGCCCAAATCACATTCTCTATTAAATAGTTATTGTATTGTAGAAAGCAATAAGCTATGGTCAGGGGAAAGAATGCGCAAACTCGCATCAAGCAACTTCATGCACTACAACAACCTTTGCATATCCCTGAGGTGGTCGATTTGACTACTTAAGTCGGCTGGGATTCTAACCCCGTGGCCTACAGTCAGTGGCCCAGTAGGACGTTTTCCAACCCAAACGATTGCATTTATACAAGCGTAGCTTTGGCATGGCACCAACCTGAGGGCACGGGTATGCCATTTCGGGCTGCCCAGATAGTCCAGGGGTTGTCCATCACTGTACCGCTTCCGCTCCACTCTCCAGACAGCCCAGCGCCACCATACAGCAGACGCCTCCACCTCTGCCAGAGCAACTGCTCCTAACAACTGATTTTGCTGATTGCCTGTCCCAAGCTAGCTAATCGAACAGCCAGCCAGTAACAAGCATATAACAACAGCAGAATCAATGCTAGCACCGCCACAGCATTACGGCAGCACTTATTAGGTTTCAATAACCACACAGCTACGAGCAGCAGCAGCGCCAGGAGCAGCAGCACTTGAAACCACCGGAGTTGTTGTTGTAGAAGCTGCTGCTCCTGCAGAAGGCGGCCAATTGAATGAACGAGTGTCTACAAAGTGGCCGACGAACAAGAGCTAACAGACGCAGACGAAATCGATATATTTTCGCACTTTCGGATCATGTAAAACGGCCGTGGAGTTTAGTTTCTGCTATAAAATATGTTACTTACAATTACATATACGTAATGAAAAATGATAGAGAAAGCAAAAAGATTATAGAAGTCAATGCACAAAAATAAGTAGTGTGCTACTAGTAATAGTCTAGCGGACTGTTCTATCGCCAAATAACCTGTAAACAACCAGAAATTGGTGGATGAAACTGCCATTTGCTTGATGTTCGTCTGTAGAAGCTAGGCGCTGTCTTTTTCCCCGTCTTAACCTATCAGACGACGATGACGACGACTAAATAAACTGTAAGATTTAAATAGTTGTATTCGGTGGAACGGAAAGGAAAATCAAAACAGTGTTCCAGGCATGTGAGTAATAATGTATGTTTATTCCAGTAACTTTTTAGACTCTTTCATGTAACCATGACGAAAAGGTATTTCCACTGATAGTTCAATTATCGCTAGCGAAGCTGCATGTTACTAACCTGCCTTCGTACTTCTAACATTGTATGTAAGTAAACATTTGTATGAATGTATTTCTTAATCGTCAAACCTAAAAGTCATGATACTTATTTCCACGGTGGCTTGCTCGGAGAAGCAGCTGCTCTTTAGTAGCTTTAGCTGCTCTTTAGGTGGAGAAAAAGAACCTTTAGGAGTACAGTAGTACTTTGGTTTAATGGGAAAGTTAGTTCTATTTCCTCAGGTGAACGTGATATCACATGCATTGGAATAAGTCAGCGGTTAACTATGTTCATTATTGTCGTCTAGGCTAATCGGGACCACCATTTACTCCACTGGATCAAATTTGACATAAATTACTTGACAAATGAAGGTATGCAAGCGAAGAATGCACATGATTAGTTAAAAGTGTTTTTAGGTGACGATAGCCAGGCTAGTAAAGGAAAATGTTTCCGCAATAGTTTAGTGGGTAATGTATTTGTCTGCAGCTTATAGGGACAAGTTGTGGTCTAGGTCCGAAGCCGGGAATAAACACACCTGGTTTCAAGCATCTGATGAAATGCACAAGAACGATACCAGACGTAAAAATCTAACCATAGTTAGTAGAAGAAAATAATTGTCATATTTGTCTGCGTCAGTGTTAGGTGTTTTGTTAAGTGTAACTCAGCAAAGATATTCGAGATCCTAGTAGGTAGATTCTGTTTGAATAGGAGCTAATTAGGCTGAAGCTGATTAGGAGAGTTGTCTAGTAGTTTACAAATCACGAAATTGTAGTCCGTATTTTATTATGGGAGAACGAAATGCATGAAGCCTGTATCAGAGAACTCGTTTTTGTAGCAATAATATTAACGAAACACCTAGAGCCATTACTATGTTGTATGTAATTATCATTACTTGTTGAAAAGGAAGTTAACGTGTTAACAACTTATTCTAAAATGTAAATACAGTGGCGAGTATCGAGCATGACGACTTGCACAAAAAAGTTATTCAACAAGCCATAATAAAGAGCAAATTATTATGCATCTGTGGGCTTGTGCATGTTTGTGGGTGTGCCTACTTCCAAGTAATTCGGACCTATTTAGTGATGATAACCCTGCCGTCTAATGCGTCTACCATATATAATACTACACTTAAAGAAAAATCCCATTGAAGCGGTACGGTGTCATGCGAGGCGTACAGTCAAATTTTTTTTTTGTTAAGATCTCTTTACTAACATGTTCCGCTTCTGTTCAAGCATTATTTGTAGTTTTGCCCTCTTTGTCTCCTATGCAAATTTCGCAGACTTAATTATTAGCAGAAAGCAATCGGTAGAAACTACTTGCTTTACAACTAGAAATATAGCTAGTCACACCGAAACCCTGCTCTAGACACCTTAGTCAAATAGTGACGACTCGAGATTGACGACACTATGTAATCGATTCCGTATCACATTAGTAGTATGGTACGCTTTGATAATTCTTCATCCGAGGTTTTAAAGGCTTTGAAGGCGCCCTAGGTTAGAAGCACTGCTATCACTATCGGTCGATAAATATCTATAACGGGCACGAAATCGACCGCATTGAACAATAAAGTTCACCTATATAGATACAGATACTAGAAGAAAACGAAAAGCCCCATATTGGTATTTGCGTCGTGCCTAAACAGTATGATACTTTGATGGGGTCGTTCATCCAACGACGATGTCGATGGGTCTCTATGAACACTTGAAAGAATGAGATATCAATATGCGATTTAACCTACGTTCTCTGTTTTAAGAAGTTTCCATATCAGACTCGGATACCATTGTCCTGTACAATAAACCGTTTTTTCTGTAACTCAAACACAACAGAGCATTGTATTAAACATAGCATGATTGATTAACTTGCTTATGCATTTATCTATCTGTTGTTAGTTTATCTGTAAGAATTGCTGCGGTAAATAAGTGGCCGGTGTTGTCATTTTGCCAACGTCGCATGTAATATTAAGTGTAATAGTAATTCAATCAATACAATGCTCTGGCGTGTTGTTGCAGGATTGCGGAACAGACGTTGACGCGAAACGCTGCCGGAAATGTGGTGGGTTTAGGACGACCTGCGGACGTAGAGTTAGATCACCGGGTTCGCTCTGTGAGCAATAAGTTTGCTGATAATGTACATATAATCGCCAATGAACCGACCCTTGCGTGCTATCGTCTACAGGAGCACGTGCGGAAAAGTCTTCCAGGACTTGTTGAAAAGCAATATGCGCTCGTAAGAAATGATCGTGCTCTCGAAGGGCGTGTATTTGATCTCGATTATGATATTAAAGCAGTAAAGGATATCTACCCGGCCGAAGCGCGTTTTCGGACGGTTCAAGAAATGTTGAAAAACAGTATATTTATGAAGCAAGAGCTTGACCAAAGTCGGATAGCACGTAGCTATACGACAAATGAAGACAAACAGAGCAAAAAAATGAAAAGGTCTTCAAGATCGTTCGATCGACAAGGCACGGAAGGGGTCCGCTTAAGTACAGCAAGCGGCGAGCAACGAAGTACTCCGTTGTTAATTGAGAATTCCATAGGAGAGCGTGGGAGAGGCAGTTTAAAAGACAATTCAAAAGAACGCTCGGGAAGTATACAATCAACGGGCTCTTACAAAAGCTTCCTATATCATCGGATAAATGCTCCAACAAAATAGAATGTTTTCTCATTGCTTATATAACGCTTGTGCATACTTCTTAATCTTCTGCACTTCTTCAGAAGGCGTAACATTAGGCACAAACGGTCTTCAATACGATCGTTCTCAAGGTGTATTTGTGTTTCGACGAAATGTCGTACGATATTTGAGAGCTGAATAGAAAATCATTCGCAATTGCGCACTAATGAAAGACTCTGCAAGATGTATCAAAGAGTTGTCGTAACGTCTTCAACTATATACTCAATGTTCTATTCACACAACAAAAACAATTCACAAATCTATGATGCATTTCACGTAGAATCGCCTGCTCCACATTTCAGGACTAAGGAAATTGAAGCTTTGAACACATAGCATATTATATCATTATATCCTTATTTGGCCAGTTATGTATGTCGACTTTTCATAAGGTGAATGAAGTAATACTTTGTATTCACATAAACAAGGAGTGGTGTATATATTTAAGTAAACAGGCTAGAGCTACAGCGGTTGTATAATGTGGCTAGGTAACTGCTGTCTTTTTAGTAGTAAAGGCGCATCTAACATGACTTAAGTCGTTGCTTCTAAAATATAATTTTGCTTTTACTTCTGAATGAAAGCAAAGGCGCTATAAATATTAGTCAGCTGTTCTTGTTGATCAAAAATTTAAATAAACTTAACACACAGGCCGAACGCTGCATCAGTTCGAAAAGTCAACGGTTGAGTCGTGGTTGAATAGTTCGGTTGTTTTAGTTAAAAGAAAATCACATATTTCTTTAATTTTACATAAAACGTGTATACGTTGTTTGCCTCGCGGTTAAGCGAAAGAATATTAAGGCATTTATAGCCATTTAGCTTTACGTCGTATAGGAAACCGCGCTTATAAATTTTCAGTAATAGTAAGGAAAGAAAACGAGTGCGTCTTCTGCTTTTATCAAGGTAGACTAATGCAAACTGAGCTGAGTGAATATGCCTCCTAAATTCGTTCGGAACGCCTGCTCGGATCTTGTTGGAACCAACGCACGTCATCGTATTGTTCGAGTTTGAAATATAAAATTGCACAGGACGTGAGATCAATATGCAAAGGGATTTTAGATAACCAGATAATGTGAAAGCGCTTAGAGAAAGTCTGAAAGTTATAATACAGCTTAGTTTTATGCGTATTAAATGAGGAGAATCTTTGTGTATCAGAGCAGTACAGGCTAAATCATCGGTACGTGGTATACAAAAGCTAAAGTACATAACTTGTGTTTTCGAAAAAAAGAAAAGTTAGAAACCAAACCGTACTTAAAGGTTACGAGACGCGGCAATCGTAAGCAAAGTGTCTCACACAAAAGCATCTTTTCAAAGTGGCAGGAAATTAGGTAAGCACTGAAGAAGATTTAAAATCTCAACAGCGCAGTCCATGGCGGGGCACACCAAAATACCACGAGAAAAGGAAAGGTTGCTAGGAATGTTGTTGCTGCGATTTACTACATGTTTGGACGTAATATCATTAACAATACTGAGGAACAGATAATACACCTATATATATCACGAGTCGTTAAGAACATTCGAATTGGGCCGAATGAGATCTTAAGCAAATGGAGTAAGATTGGGTATTGTTATGGAAAGGAGGTATATCTGTTTCGGTTGTATTGACAATGTACAAACCCGCTAGAGTACCCGCTGTCCTTTGCAGATTATTAGAAGAAATTACTGTAATCAGTTGTCTTTGCTCTTTTTGCTCTTCCCTAAAGATAAGGGAACGATAATAATATCCTTAACTGCCGATTTGGCAGCGCGTTAAGTTGGAGTCCGTGGGTAACCAAAAATCATGGCTTGCATCCGAAGTAGCTGAGTTATTAAGCCATGAAGATAGGAGGCAAAAAGATGCGGCCAGAACAATAAGTATGAAATAGGCTGGATGGACGAATAATATTAATGTGGCAACAAAGAGCGCCTTTATTTATGCAAGCTAAACATACAATAGAATCATCTGGATTCAGCATATACTCCAGGAATGTGATAATGTGATAGACATCGCTGCTTGCAAGATGTCGCTGCTTAATCTCCATATTTATTTAAATTAGACGGCTGCGTCAGCGTCAGTCATAGTTGGTACAACCTTTAAATACTAGCATTACTAGCAACCTTTAAATAGCATTTTGAATTTTTTTTATAAACCTCTGCGTAAGTCTCATAATTCCAAAATGGTTCTATGACTCTGAAATGGCATTTTGCCACAGTTCTTTTTTTCGAGATTAATTGATTAAATAAGTTTTTTCCTGTAGTTTATATATAAGCTGCGCTCTCGAGCAGACCGAGACGGGTGTTATATCGTAGATATCTGAGAAAACGCAGTCAGCAGCAAATGGACGATACCGGTGTTAAAAGTGGTTTGAACAATCAGGCTGAGCAGTGCACGTTCTCGTGGAACTGTTCATTTACGCTCATGATGCATAGATAAGGCTTATGTAGTTTGTGTAAAAATGGTAGTGCAGCATATGTTAATCTCACTAATTAATAAATTATTAAGAAAATTGAGGATTTAATTTAGTTGATAACATACGCGTTTGTCATGGAAATTTCGAATTTGGAAAACTATCACTTTATGACAGAGCGCTTGATATCAGCGACCCGGGTAGCACAGTGTATCACCTACTAAAAAGACAATTACTAAAGATGCAAAATAATTCGGCTTACGATGCTAGAATCTTTTCGAAAAAAAGGCCTTCAGGAAATAAACGGCGGGACGCAGAAAAGTATATATGAAATACAAAGACATTTTTGTCAAGACCGTGCATCAGCCAGAGCTAGTCGGAACTGGAAAAGTTACAAACTAAGAATATTATTCAAAATAAAATCGGGCACCTCCAGATTTGCTTCATTCTGTCGGATGAGAAAGTCATCATAAGGCACCTGAAAACACTTTGGCACATACCAACGTCATCGAGTTCATGGCAAATCTGGCTGAGTTGTAACTTGAAGTCACTTTCTAAAGCCAGGAAATTACTTATGTGCGTTTGGCTACTGTCGAGAGCTTATACGATAGTTAGCAACAACTTCTTTCCTCTTTAGAGTATTATAACATTATTATATAGTATAGATATTGGTTCTGTTCTTACATCTTGTTTTGAATGACACTGGAGCTCGGATTGGGACAAAATAAGGCAGTAGCGGGCAGCCACGATTTCGCTGAAGAGGTAAATAATAATATTGAGGACAATGATATAATAAAATTCCCCCGCGTTAATGAAGAACTGTAAATTGGGTTGTTTAGCTTTTATATGAAACCCATTTTCCAGAGGGTAGTCAAATGAGACAAAAGTTTGATCTGAAAGTAATTTCGGTTTAGCGAACAGCATTAATAAGTGCGCGATTATCACAAGCAATAATTTACCTTCTTCTGTACAACATTATACGGTAGAGTATATACAACAGTAGAGACTCTTTTTACAGACAAAGAGAAATAAAATAATTTAACAATGTACACTGAGTTTATTAAGTTCTTCTACAACTATGAATTTTTAAACAATGCGTTAAGTTAGACGTGTTGTTTAGAGAATTAATAATGTCAGGGCTATTTTGTTTATGCGATCTAACGTCATTCGAATATTTACTTTTGAACTTTTCTGAGAAACAAGAAGTACCAAAGCTGGTTCCTGACGAGCAACTAGTAAGCAAAAAGAAAATATCTGCTAGTTTATTTTGTTACTCACATAATATTTGTTGTTAAAGAAGTTGTCAACAATTGCGTGCTTCGAACACAAGTATATATAAAGTATACAGCACTCTGAATTAGCCAGTCAGCTTCAACGTTAGGCAGTGTTTAGTAGCTTGAGCCAAAGGGTGTAGTTGCAGTTTCTGACTAAACTTAGCATTACTGTTAAAAAAAAAATAGCCTTAAATAGTTATTAATCATAATGATTGTTTGGCATCTGCTTCAGCTTTGTTTAGATTTTATAAACGTTTGAGGAAGCAGACTTGTTCATTATGAAACTTTGATGATAGGCCTAGAGATCGGGCGGATAGCTGTGGCTCAAGAAAAACTCGTCTAACCTTATATTATAATTTGCTGATTTCAGCTCCAACATGTCACGTGGCACCGCAGAAACTTCGCAACTGAAGGCCAAGCTGGAGGAGCAGCTCGACAGACTTGTCGACCAACTTGCTGATCTTGAACAGGTTTAAAATAGAAGCTGTAGTTGTTCCTTGGTTTCTATTCAGAATTTATAGTCAAACCCATGTCGAACAAATGGTCTCATGAACCCTACTGAATGATTACTTTGTGGATGAGCTTGCTGGTAGCTTCCAAAGTTCAATCGAGAAGAGATTTCGGCAAATTTCAATATATATTGATTCGATTTAACTAAGATAACCTCATCATAATCGAGCGAAGAACTAAATAACTTAATATTGTGATTCCGGTACAAACAATAATGTTGGTATTTGCTGCGACCGCAATATTATTTTCAGGAACGCCACGAATTAAGTGAGGACGAGTACCAAGAGACGAAACAGGATACACTTGATCAATTAAAAGAGTTTAAAGAGAGCTTCGATAAAATACTCAAAGGTAATTGGATTCGAATTTTATTTAGGTTTTTTTTATTTTCAACTTTGAAAAAGTTTTACTTGCTTTTATGATGTAGTAAGCTAAGGAAAATTGCATAGGTTTAATATTATTCTGAAGGTTAATATTGCATGACTGATCCACTGAAAAAACCTGTCATAGGACGTCTCATTGGGAAACTTATTGTGATTCCTTTCAGCCTACAAATAGATAAAACAGTATTCTGTACACATCACCATACTGTTTAGCTGTACCACACTGTTCTTGGTGTACGCAAAATGTTGTTTGCTAATACGTATCCCTTTTGTATTGCACCATCATCTCATCTTATACATCAATTCTTTCTGATGATTTGTGTGTTAGACGTGTAGTTGGGTTTTCCTAAACGGCTTCTTCGTTAATCAACCAAGGTCCGGTGTATGCCGAGAATATGTTTGAGTCTATCCAACTCAGTAAATATTATAAAAATAAAAGTAATTTTGCTAGAAGCTTGGTAATGTGAAAACTCGTCACCCTTTGAAACGGCATACTAAGTCCGAAATCTAAGGAAACTGATAGAATTATCAGCTGCTTGCATGCGAGAGAGGTTAAATTAATTTTAGTACCTGCTGTACCTATTGTAGAAACTTTACAGCTGAGATTGGTCGAACTCAGCCTTCAACGCAGTTCAGGTCCGCAGTTAGCTTTAGCACAGATTATTATCTGTGCTACTTATAGCTTTACTATTTATTATTCACATAATGAAACCTGATTGTTTTAATCTTAGTTCAAGTGGATTGGAACCCTTTTGCATCACAACACGTTATGCACATAAAGTGAGCCAAAAGCCACCGGACGGTCGGAGAGTTTCAGTTTCATAACCGCTAAAGTAGTACGAAACGCGCAAATTGCTGTAATAATAAAGTGCACCCTATTATAATTTTTGTACTCCAATTATATAATGTTATTAGCATACTACAGGGTACTAAAGAATAAAACCAATTGAACCACCGCGTTATTTATTGTTATGACTATTGTGTTTTAGACAGATACTAGTGCCACAGCATTATAACATACCATTTTATGAATAGAGATGGTATCAGGGTATCACTGTTATGAATACGTTATGTAATTAAATCCGCTCTTTGTTACAGTAATAAGTACGATCACTTGCATATTTCAT